TATGCCGCTGAGCTAAATCCTCAGCCCCAGAGATACAATTTTTTAAAAAATCACTTTGTGAAATAGTAGAAAGGTCTCCTCAAGAATTTGAAGGCAGCTAGGCATGGTGGCTCACGCCTGTAATCCCAGCACTCAGGAGGCTGAGGTGGGAGGATTGTTGGGAGTTCAAGACAAGCCTGGGCTACAAAATGAGCTCAAGGCCAGCCTGAACTGCATAGCGAGACCCCATCTCAAAAAAAAAAAAAAAAAAAAAAAAAGAATTTGAAGGCCATGGCATTCTCAGCTCCAGCCAGTAACTTTGCAACTGAAACCATACTCTTTGGCAATGTGTTTCCAAAGATCATTAAGAAATTCACCTTGTCTTGGCCAAAAGCCTTCCCCAGCCGCTCCTGTGTACATGCCTATCCCTCTGTTTGAGTTGGAACTTGGATACCTCACTGGGATGCTGATGGTCCAGTAAAGGTGAGTAGGGTACAGTCAGTCACCTGTCTGTTGGGATGGAGGTTTCCAGCATCAGCCATCCACAGAGGAGTATGAGAAACAGAACCTCAGAGACACAAAGAAGAACTTAGTCCTGGAGGAGCATAGGTTTGGACACGTGCTCCTGTGCCCCCACCTGGTGCAAGCTCAGGTCTTGCTGCATGAAAAGTAAGTCCATCAGCAATGCTGTGGGGGTGTCTCTAGGACATCTAAAGTTTAGGACATCTACAGTGACATCTAAAGTTGCCATGGTTACAAAGTTTTATGAGCCTATTAGTGATGATGTTTAGTTCTTGCGGGAGGAGCATAGATTTCACTTTTATACTATAGGCAAAAGTATTTCCAGATGGTTTAAACTGTTAAATTTTAAGACCATAAAGACTAATTTCCAGGGCTGGGGATTTAGCTCAGCGGCATAAAGTGCCTGCCTTGCAAGCAGGCAGTCATGAGTTCGATCCCTGGTACCGATAAAAAGGAAAAAGACACACAAAAAAAGACTAATTTCCATGCTATCATTCTATGCCTTCTCCATTTAGGAACTGAAATCTGTTTTTAAAATGTACTTTTCAACTTGGAGTAAGTTTAAACTTAACAGAAAAGTTACAAAGAGAGTTCAGAGAATTTTATATATCCTTAACCCAGTTTTACTGAACGCTTACATCTTTCATGACTATAGCACATTTGTCAAAATTAAGAAATTAATTCTGGTCACTAAATTCTAGACTATTCAAATTTCATGATTTTCCCATCGACATCATTTTTCTATTCCAGGATCCAGTCCAAGATGTTCACTATATTTAGTTGAAATTCATTTTCGGTCCATGTAACGACAGACTTCAAAACCCTCTTTAATTCCCACAGGAAGCGCTGCATGTTCTGCCTGTGGTTTTCCAAAGCTTTTCAGACGACTTTTTTCTTTTGTAATGACCACCTCAAGGCCCGCAGGAATGGAGGCTGTTCTCTTGGCTTCTCGGCCTTCCTCTGGGGCAGGCCCTCTCTGTCCCCCACTTTGCTCCTCCCTCCTCGCCTCTGCTCTAACCTGGTTCTGCTTCATTCCTCTGTGGGCCACGGTGGCCTAGAGTCCCATAGCTCAGCGTGCATGGCCTGCTGAGGCTCGGCTGGGCTTCAACCCAGTCGGGTTATTCACCCCTCACCCAGGTCACCTGGGCACTAATCCACGTCAAATTCTGTTGGATTCGGGTCTAGTTTCAAGCAACAATGAAATAGAACTACTACTTCGTGGTTGTTGTTGCTGTTATGGTAGAAAAGTCTGTTTCTCCGATAGAAGATATCACTGACTTTCTAACAGTAGCTTTGTGAAAATGCCTCTATTAAAAAGCGAAAGGAAGAAAAATCATCAGAATGAAATTTTTAATTTTTGAGAAAGAACCTGAAGAGAATAAAATCTCTAGGCATTACTCAATGAAGGACTGCAAAAGACTTTGTTCTTAAAGGATTTTGGTTAAACTGCAAAGGATTCAAATTTTTCTCAGAGTTTCAGTGGAAGCATTTAGATGATTTCTTAGAAAAGAAAGCACATAGCCAGTCCAAATCCGCTAACGAATCTAATAGAACACACTGGATATTGCTTTCTCCCTTTGGGGAGAGGAAAAAATAGCCCTGCTTATAAATTAATGTTTCCTTAAACAGACGAACTAAAATGTACTGTAGTTCTTCAGGGATTTTCACTCTAGAGCATCAGTGAGAAAGCTCTCTCCTCCCGCGTACCCGCACCCTGGCCCTGAGGAGGTCGCCTCCCTCCTCTCCTCCCTCTTCTCCGGTCCCTTCCTGTCTGCCTTCCTACCACAAGGTTCCACGCAATCCATGCAAAAAGCCACAAGAGTGCTCAATGCTAGTGACAGAGCAGTGACCAAAATGCAGAGAATAAGTGAAATAGTATGACTTTAATCAAAACAGAAGTGAAAGTTTCAATTAAAAATGTATTACAGTAAGACACATTATCATTAACCCCCCAAAACACGTTCCCTCAGTCTGAACACACTTATCCCCTCCATCTCGACACTTTCTGAAGTAGTGTAAGGCTCACATTCAGAGCAATTCCTGTCAATTAAAAATATTACAGTCTCTTCATTCACCAGACTCATGGGATCTGGCCCTGTGCACTTTCTAGTTCTTCGCTAATGTCAAAATAACCATGAAGTTGGTTGAGGACATTGAGGCAGCCATGCTAATGCTGCTAAAGACACTCCTGAAAGAGGACGCACAGAACCGCTCCAGAACGTGGTCATTGGCATTTGCTGCCGTGCCGCCTTCTGCCTGCCATGGACTGTTTCTCCGAAGTGATGCCCCTTTGCCGTGCCATCTTGGAGCCAGCCAACTGTGGACTGAAACCTCTACACACTGTGAGCCAAAACAAACCTTTCCCCGAAAAGTAAAAAAGAAAGAAAAGAGAGAGAGGCAAAAATGATGAGATGAGTGTGCTTAATTCAAGGAGGGGTATTCTGGGTAGGATTAATGGTAATTTATCTTTTACTGTAATTAATTAAAAATCTAAACTCTAAACATTCACCATTTAAAAAATCACACTATGGTATGCTGATATGCATTCCATATGCCAAGGGAGGGCTCAGGAAAGACTCAGTATTTTTTTTTAAATCACCATCGTGGATCTGAACTCACATCGTGGATCTGAACTCACAACCACCATCGAGGACTGAACTCACAACTGCCTGCTTGCAAGACCACCTGTTTGCAAGGGAGGTGCTTATGCCGCTGAGCTAAATCCCCAGCCCCTAAGACTCGGTTTCTGAGCAAATGTTGAAGCCCTTGACAGAGGAAGCCAGGGAGCCTGCTGGGTCTGGGGCTGCACAGCGGGAGTGTGACTGCAAGTTCCAGAGCGGAGGAAGAGAGCAGAGCACTGCAGGTTGGGTCTTGTCTTTCTTCCAAATGTTTATACATTGGGCCTCGAGGGTGTTTTGCATTAATTCTGATATCCTATTAACAAGTGCTTTCTCTCAGCGGCTGGGGCTGGGGCAACTGCAGGGCAGGGCACCTCGCTGGGCTCCAGGCCCTGGAGACAAAGCAGGAGCAGAGAGCAGGCCACAGAGGAAGGAGGCTGGGAGGCAAGGGGGTTTGGGGAGCCGGCTCCTGCTCTGAGGGTGGGAAGTCACTGGGCTGAGGGCCATCTCCGTTTTCTATTCCTGCCACAGCGATTGCCAATCAGCAACTTACGCAACGCCGGTTGCTTATACCATCATGTGTACATTGCTGGCCCGCAGGGTCTCCTTAGGCTCACATTGGTGTGGCTGCCTTCCTGCTCTCTTGGTTTCTTAGAGGATTGAGCGGGTGCCATGGGTCATCTGGCCGGGGCCTCCTCTCTGCCGCCAGCTCCTGGTCCTCCTCCTCTTCCTCAAAGCTAGCAGCTGAGGATGGAGTCCTCTCTGGCCACGTCTCTCTCACTGTTTCTTCTGGCTTCCTCTCTGCTTTAAGGACTCCTGTGATGAGACGGTGCCACCCGGATCATCCAGGAGCTTTCCTCACCTCAGAGTCCAGCCCCTACATATACCTACCTGCTCAGCGCCTTTTGCCAGGGAAGGTGACAGCCACAGTGCCCGAGGATTAGGACATGAGCACCTCTGGGAAACAGTATTCTGCAATGGCACAAGCTCTTCCGGAGAGCTGGCTGCTGTCTGCTCTGCAGGGTACTGGGTGGGGCAGGGAAACCAGTTCAGGCTTGGAGAAGGGAAGAGGCTATTGGGGTCAGAATTGGGCTGCTACTGAGTTTCACGTATCACCTTGACCAGGCTGCAGTCCCTGTTTACTCAGCAAAACACTGTCCTAAGGGACTCAGTGAATGTCTTTTGTATATATGAATAAAGTCTCTAATTGGAGCCAGGCATGGTGATGCCTGCCTAGAATCACAAATACTCAGAAGGCTGAGGCAGGAGGATGGCAAGTTCGAGGCCATCCTGGTCAAATAGTGACTTAGCAAGAGCATCTCAATAAAACATTAAAAAGGGCTGGGAATGGAGTTCAGTACAGAGTCCCTGGATTCCATCCCCAGGAAAACACACACATACACACACATGCATAAACACATGAAATAATTATGTCCCTAATCAGGACCCCTATATGCAGGCTGGGTCTTAAGGACAGAGCCCAGGGCTCCCCAGTGAAAGGAAAGTTCTGCCCAGAGACAGTGACTTCTGCTCACCCACTATGCCCAGCCTACCCTTCCTGAGGATGTCAGATTCACCCTGCACCCCTAATTCCTCGCAGCAGATCTCTTACCATACATCTTCCAATTCTATTTCTCTGATCAGACCACAGCTGCTTCTAATTCTGAGAGGGTTCTGAACACAGAGCCCAAAGCATCACCCAGCGTTTGGGACCAGGAAAGAGAGTGATCCACGACGGTGAGGGAAGGGCCCCAGGTCCCAGGAAACACCTTTTGAAGGAAGGATGTGCACTCCAGGCTGGGCCTGGCCAGCCCAGAGTCAGCCAGCCCCAACCAAGGGAGAAAGTAAGAAATAAAGGCACCACTGTGCCCGATCAGTCACCTGGAAATTCTGTGGCTTCCACTGCATCCCGGAATCCACAGGAAGCCAGAGCAGATCTCTTCCTCGCTGCCCTGTGTGCTTGGGAGCCGGTTAGCTGAGCCCCTAGCCAAGACCTAGTCAGGGGAGCTGAATGAGACTTGTGGGTATGTTTTTCTGAGGCTTCTCCTTTTCTTGTGGAGGAACAGGCTGTGCTTGAAACTCGAAAGTGGGGTGTTTTGCTTTTTTGTTGCTATTTAAATCTTCCTGGAAGGCAGCAAAGAACAGCAAAAGAAAGGAAAGAATTCCCTTTGTCACATGCGCTGTTCTGGTTAGCACAGTAGTTGGGCCCTTGATCTCTCTCCAGGCCTCCCAGTCTGGCATAGAGTGAGATTTAAGAAATAAAAGGAATTTTTCTGTGAGTGTGGCCACCGGGCAGACCTGAAGCCAGGGCTATGGGTACCAACCCTCTCCACCCTCCCGGCCCCGCCCCAGCAGGCCCAGCTCTGCAGGTGTGAGACTGGGTCCCTGGAGACACAACTGCAGGGCAGCTCCTCACGTGGACTGACACCCCCACCTCAGAGAGGACAGGGCCAGCCCTGGTTTCCCACCCAGTAGGCCAACTTTAGTCTTAAGAAAGTCATATTGTGCCTCTTTCGTCTCACACAAATGGCAAAAGATTTCATACCAAGGAAAGGGAGGCCTGGGGAGAAGCCGATCCATGGGTAGGGAGTGACAGGAGCAATAGGTTCTGGGGTGCTGGTGCCCAGGAGGCGACTCTAGAGAGCCAGACTGGGTACCTCAGAAAGCCAGAAGAAAGGACTCTAGGCGCACACCGTATAGACATGCTAAGTGTTTACGAGGCGGATATGCTTCACTTGATAGAAACATTACGCAGTGTATACATGTATCAAACCTTGGGATGGTGCCCCCTGAATATGTAGAAGTGTTTATGTTTTTATGTGTTAGCTAAAACTTATTAAAATTTTCCAAAAAAAATTTTTAAAGAGTTCACATCAGGAAATGTTTCTTTGTGAGAGCTAATATTTAGATCCTTCTTTATTCTTCCTCAAGGCTAGATTGAGGCAGAACTGGACCCTTCCGTTCTGAGAAATATCAGCTGTTTTTCCTTTAACAGTGTCAGGTGGGCTTCAGGTGGTTCCTGAGGGATCTGCACTCTGTCTCTGCAAGAATATTCCCTGCTGAGGTGACATGGGGACCCGGCTAAGATCGGTACCTCTGCAACGAAAGTGTTTGTTTGTTCCACCTCCTTCTGCCTTTGACCTCTACAGGAAAAGAAAAAGCCTTACAGAATCTGATTTGTAATAAAAACATGTGCCACAGAAGATTTTTGTGAGGATTGAAGAATTTAGGCCGGAGCGTTTTGGAAGCGGCCTACGGCTTCCACAGCTGAACTGTGCAGAAGCACTGACTGACAGTGGCTGGACAGACAAGCACACTGCGGTGTGAAGGGCAGAGACACTGCTACTGTCCTGTGCTGGGGTCAGGGGCAGCCAGGCAAGGCAGGCACACTGGGTGGTGAGGAAAGGGTTTGTCCAAGAGGAGATGACGAGGGTATTCTCAGCCCACCAAAAAATCTATAGAGGGGGAGGAACAGCAGGCAGCAAAGTCAGAAGTGACACTGATATTGGAGGATCTGTGGCCTCCCCGTCCATTCACCGGGCCGTAGGTGTATAAAGGACACTGTCAAGGTTAGGTCTCACTGCAGGGCACACCCAGAGGCCCTGGAGAAAACCAACCCACAGGAATACTGACCTTCTTTGTCTCTGAGCAGAGTAAAGAACATCCAAAAAGGTAGTGGAGTTTGGTTTCTACACAGGAGTGCCTCCTTATCCATAGTTTTGATCTTCTCAATTTTAGCTGCCTAAGCCAACCATAGTCCAAAATTATTACATAGAACATTCCAGAAATAAACAATTCACATGTTTTAAATCTTAAGCCACTGTGATTAGTGTGATGATACTGCTCACCATCCTGCTTTACCTGCTCGGTATGTGAGTCAGCCCTTCATCCAGAGTGTTCACGCTGTAAGTGCTGTCCCCGCCAGTCCCTTAGCGCCATCTTTGTTATCAGGCTGACTATGGTGGCACCAGAGTGTTCGTGTTCAAGCAACCCTAACGTTACCTCAGAATGGCTGCCCAGTCCGAGAGTGACAATGCTGGCGGTTGGATACAGCAGAGAGAAGCAGTAAAGGGCTTATTTGACATGAAAGATGGATGTTCCTTCCTTAAAAAAACCAAAAAACATCATCTTAATAAGAAAAGAAAAGAAAAACCATGCACCGAGATTGCCAAGACCGGTGGTTTTTCTTATTCATTTCTTATTGTGCCTGATTTATAAATTGAATTTTATCTTAGGGAAAGATATGTAGGGAAGACCTGGGGGTTTAGCTCAGCGGCATAAGCACCTGCCTGGCAAGTGCAAGGTCATGAGTTTGATCCCCAGTACCAAAAAAAAACAAAAGCAAAACAAAACAAAAAAGACCCTGTACAGATTCATAGGAACAAACAACAATTCAACATTTGGTACTTCCGTGGCTTCTGCGTCCCCTGGGATTGGAACGTATCCCCTGTAGGTAACAGGGAACCACTGTGTGCCACGTCCAGACGAAACGTTTGTTCCCTGCTTCAGTCCAGCTTCCTTTCTGATGGCTGTGCAGCAGGGGTACCAGCAGGAGGCCGGGCTCTTTACACTTGTCCCACGTTCCCACATTCTGGAGTTCTTGGTCAAGGAAGACAGAGGTAAAAAGTTGCCTCGGAGACTTGCAGAAGAGTGTGCTGCTGCAGAGGACGCGTTCAGGGCCTGATGTGGCGGGCAGGCTCTGGCCAAGTGCGCTATAGACATTCACTCATTAGTCCTCAGTACAGTCCTACAAGATAGGGTGATTATTTTTCTCATTTAATGGGTGAGGAAGCTGAGAAATAGAGAAGTTAAATAATGTGGCCAAGGTCAAAGAGAGAAAGCTGATTTTCAAACTCAGATTGGTTAGCTACATTGTCTCCCGTTACCTGGAGATAACTTGCTTTCCCTAGCCTGTCTCTAATTAGAAAATAGGGCAGTAACATGCTAGCAAAGGGAGATGTTACTTGTTTTGACTAGATGACTTAGAGAGATAGGGTATTACAGTGTAGAACGCTAAAATACCCTTGGCCACTATAAAATGCCCTGGCCTCAGTCAGGACTATTTTACTATAAGTAACAGAATATTTAAAATCACCAAACAGTTGGACACTTGTTATGTCCCTCAGCAAGTCTGGATGCAGTTCACAAATTTAAAAGATTGGATTAATGATGTCATTAGGAAAATCTAGGGTTTTTAAAAAACTCTTAACTGGGTGTGGTGGCTTATGCCTGTAATCCCAGCACTCAGGAGGCTGAGGCAGGAGGATCATTGCAAATTTGAGAATAGCCTGGGCTACAAAGTGAGCTCAAAGCCAGCCTGAACTGCATGGAGAGACCCTGTCTCAAAAAAAAAATCTCTTAAATCTTCCCTGTCTATGTATCAACTATGTTTCACTCACAACCGCAAGATGGGTGCAGCAGCTCCAGGCATCACATGTTGACAACTGTATCCACTGAAGGAGTTTCCCATAAAATACTCAGTAGACTTTGCAAGTCATTTGGACAAAATCAGCTCTCACATTTATGCATGAGCCTTAAAGGAAGCTCAAAATATGAACAGCTAGAATTCTCGGCTACTGTTTTTTTCCTTTTCTTTACCTCTAAGGTATACACATAAACTCTGGCTAGATCAAGGTAGTGACTTAATGCAAACTTTGTTGAATGATGACAAAAATTTCTGCTTCAGTTATATCTCTGACTTGAGGCTGGCTTCAGCTCAACACAGTCTCTTCCTGGAGCGACTGTGCCAACAGTGAAGCTCCGTCCACCCCAGCATGCTCAGGAGGACATTCATAGTCAGGGGAGTCCTGAGTCTGTCCTGCTCTTGGCAGAAGTGTCACTATCTCCAGCCCCAAAATGACAGAAATTGTGCCTGTCATGATGAATGTCAATTGACAGGGACATTCATTGTGGTTTACCCAAGACCGGGCTATACTTTTCTATTGTAAAGTGCATGGTCCAGTACTGGTTAGAGGGCTCCCTGTTCACCTGACCTCAGTCTCTTTGCACTGCCTTTCTGTGTTACTTATAATGCAGTCCACAGAGACACTCCAGCTATCATGTCATCCACTGTCAGGTAAGGACATTTCCTGGAAGCTGCCACACTGTGCAGCCTGTCACATTCCATTGGCCAGAGCTCAGGTCACATGGACATGTCTTGCCCTAAAGGCTGCTGGGAAATGGTCTTGCTGTTAGACAGGGGTCTCCAGAGAGACAGAACAAGTGGATATGTGTATACAGAAGTTGGTTCAGATAGTTACAGAAGCTGGCAAGTCCAACCCTGCAAGGTGTAGAGGCCCACTGGGGGCCAGGAGAGCTGACGCTCTAGTTCTGGAGCTGATTGCCTTTAGAAGCAGAAGAGCCAGCAGTTCAGGGCAGTCTTCTGGAGAGCTTTCTCTTGCTCCAGGGAACCAAGTTTTTTGGTCAATTCAAGCTTTTAACTGGCATTACAAGGCCCACTCAAGTTATGGAGGGTAATCTGCTTTACTCTGTCCACTGAATTCAGTGGGAATCTTGTTAGAAAATACCTCACAGAAACATCTGGAACAATGGTTGGCAAAATCTGGACCAGCCAAGTACATATAAAATTTACTGTCATTGCCATCTTTATTCACGACAGCTACTGGCATCTTCGCTTTAGGCTAAGAGTCTTCAATGCATGGGAGAATCCCCACCCACCTCCTGTGATGGGAAATAAAGGCTTTGAGGATACAACCACATATATTCATGTACATATTTTATGTAGCTACTTTTGTATTACACGGCAGAGCTGAGTGATTGTAATGAAACCATGTGCAACATCTAAACTATATACTTCCTAGGAAATGCTGACCAAGCTCTTACTTTAGCTGGCCAGGTTCCCAGTCAAATACTGACAACCTGAAGTAAAGGGAGAGGCAAATTGTGGTGGAAAATAGCAACCTCCACACGCTGCAGCGTGAGACTTTACTTCTGAGGTCTTCTGAGAAGGATTCCCATCCTTCAGCAACAAATAAATTCTGAGAAGTCTATGAGAACTAAAGGAATTAGAAAGAAGTTCAAGCAATTTTCTCTGCTCACAGAAACTTTTTTTTTCCAAGAGTCTCACTAGGTACTGTAGGCTGGCTTTGAACTTGCTTATGTAGCCCAAACTGGCCTTGAAGTCACAGGGCTCCTCCTGTCTCAGCCTCCCGAGGACCAAGATTACAGGGGTGTGCCTGGCTGCTTGCA